AAATCTGTAGTAAACTTTAAATACACATTGTAAATATAAATAAGAATTTTGAACAGACAATACAAGGTTCATTTAATTTATCATAGAAATAATCTTAAATAGTCTGTACATTTAAAAACCTCAGTTTTTTGTGTTACTAATACATATTAAGTGTTATATATGAAATAGTTTGTTACAAATAATGAAAAATAAAGAAGAGGAAAAAGACTACCATAGAAACATATATAAACCAAGATTAAAGTATATAATTAAAGACCTTTGTGCTTAATATTTTGTTGAATATGTATAATGGTAATATTAAAACACAAAGTTCAGCGAAGGGATCTCTTTTCAACGAATTTATTATCAAGCTGTATATATATATATATATATATATATATATATATATATATATATATATATATATATATATATATATAGTTTTTGTAAAAGTACTAATTCCGTGAGAAAATGTGAACACAGTTAACTATGATGTAATAAAAAAGGTTATAATAATAGATTACGTAATACGAATAATAACAATAGATTTACCAGTATAGGGTTTGTGGAGATTATTAAATTTTTGATTAAGATCATGAAACGATTAGTGTTAGATCACCACCTTTGGAAACCTGGAAGCACTGAACGGCCGTTTTGTCCTATTGTGGGACTCCTCAGCAGTGCGCAACCACGATCCGCTCGTGGGATTCGAACACAGGGCTTTCGGTCTCGCGCGCGAACGTAGTGTGTGTATGAATGTGTAAGACTGATTTATCAATGATTGATATCCGGTGTTAATATGTTTTTATGTGAAGGAATAAATGAATAAAATAAAAGTGTATGTTGAAGGCCGAAAATAATGTCTAGAATCTGATCCAGATTTGAATTTATGGTGCCCATTAGATCCATCTGAGGTTATCAAATTGCTTGGGATTATGTTTAAGATCCACCAGTTTCTCCAATTGTAGCGAATGTATTCATGCATTCTCTAGAAACCAGCGCTATCGAGAGAAGTGTATGTCCACCAAAGGTCTGGTTACGGTATGTAGACGACACTTTTATTATCGTTAAACAGGATGGTTTAGAAGATTTGTTTGAAAATGTAAACAACATTTCAGAGAGCATTAATCTAACGAAGGAAATAGAATCCGTTAACCATAAACTAGCTTTTCTCGATTATTTAATTGAACGAAGACATAATAATAATTTGAAAATAAATGTATTTAGGAAAACAACACATTTTGAGCGATACTTAGGTTATGATTTGGCTCATGCGCAGTGTACGAAAGTCATTGTTGTAAAAAATTTAATGAACGGAAGTATTAAAGTCGTTACAGATAAGGAAGACTAACAAGTTGAATTGAATAGAGTTTTGTCTACACTTAAGGATAGCAATTGCTCAAAAGAGTTTTTCAAGGTTATTAGAAATGAAAGAAAGATTAAACTAGAATGTATACTGAAAGATTGGAAGTCTACCGTGGTCATCACATACCGTAGTGAAACATTGGAAGAAATCAAGTAGATTCTCATAAGGAAAGAGTGACAGCAGAAACGCTTTATATATGGGCGAATAATATCAGCCTAAACAGAAAGGATGTTATTCAGCTAGCAACTACTTAGCAAATATTCGTTAACAAGTAATCGGACCCATTCAATATTCAACTTGTTTATTTCACGGCATCTTTATTTTAACTGAAATTAATGTTAGTTATTTTTAGCAATAAAATTATGTCAGTGGTTGAATCCATGAGTCAATTGAAGCCAGACCACCATGGAAAACCTGTAATCACTGGATGACCGTTTCGTCTCAGTATGGAACTCCTCAGCAGTGCGCATCCACGATCCCGCCCCCCGCGAGACTCGAACCCAGGACCTATCAGTCTCGCGCGTGAGCGCTTAACCATTGGACCACTGAGCCGGCATCCAACGGTGTTAATGTCCAACTTCAACCAATCCACGAAATTGCGTCACCGTAAACTATTGTCTTCAGTGAGTTGATATCTTACAGCAGACCAGGTTGAACTCCACTAGAACTCCAGGAAATGCCGCTTGAAGTCAATCACTAGTGGGCAGATGATCATTATCAGGAGTTTTGTGGAGACTTTAGAAATTTCAATAATTGAAATTATGAGTCAATTGAAGCTAGACCACCATAGAAAATCCGGAAGCACTAGACGGCCAGGTTTTCTTCGGTGGTCTAGCTTCAATTATCTCATGATTTCAACTATTGAAATTTCTGAAATTTCCACAAAACCCCTTCTGATAATACAATTATGTATTTGATGATTCTCATTTTTACTTGTACTTCAATGATTCATAAAGAATTTTTTCAGCCTTCAACTTTTATTTTATTTATTCCTTCATATAAAAACATATTAACACCGGTTATCAATCATTGAGAACTCAATCTTACACATTCATACACACATTGTGAACTTTTCACATGATTCTCATTTAACTGACTCATATTATTCTATTTACTAAAGTCAACATCTAAATATGATTGGATTAGCACATTATAGATTTGATAGTTGAAACGCTATAAATATATTTCTTTGATGATTTTGTTTATTACCCTGAACTCCAGACAAGTTTTTACATATATTGAATTATAAGTCTATTTGTATTGTGCTATGCCTTATAGTATTTACGGTATAAATTTAAAGGTTATCAATAAATTAATCAGTATTATGGAGAGAAAATAGTGAATTTCAAGTTGATTAAATCTTAAGTATTTAGAAAAAGCGTCAACATTAGTGCTAAGAAGTCATATATAATAATTCAGTCACAGACGTCCAAAGATGCAGTAAGGCTGAGGAATGATCCATTTACACACCTGATATACTCACACGCGTCCTGTAGTTTATAATTTCTTTTAAGGAAGTTCTGTTTACTACCTCCATGTACCAAGATTTTTTTTGAATGAGTTAGAGAGGAAAAAGATTATTAGATCTTCAACTGGGTTGCTGGATACCGAAGCCCCATCTTTTCTAGTTAGAAAACCATAACTCAAAACCAATGTGATTCAATGGCCTCAGGATCCTAAGAAGATAAACAGTCTGAAAGCAGCATTCATTCACCAACTACCACTATCTTGTGTATTAGACTCATATGCAGAAGGCTTACCAGTAGCCGAAACGTTTCACAATATGTTAAATGCCTCTGCACTCAATAGGAAAGAAGGCCTGAATATTCATCCAACCTGAACTGTTTATCCAAACAACCACATCTGACGTTATTTACTTTCAACACAATCTACACACACATTCAGTTTCTACCCTACTACTTCATATTATAAATAAATACATTTATCAAACCCGCATTCTGATGCAAAAATTAATACAGTATCAGGTCATATAAATTTTCCGTGATCACGAATAACTTGACACTGACATACTCAGACCTATTATGGTTTTAATTGTACTAACAATGTTCTGCATTGTTTCCTTTGTGCAATTTAAACTTTTGTTAGTTTTTTTTTTAGTTTACTTTGAAGTATTGGCTTACAATAAGTCATGAAACGTCAGAAATACAACTTTCTATTCATTAGAATATCACAAAAAAATATATTTACTATCGATACAATAGATATGTTCAATTAGATTGTTAACCAATGTCCGACGAAATCTGACATAAACTTGTAATGTTAATCAAAAGTAACAATAAATATTAGGAACTAAACAAAATTATATTTCAATAGTTGAGATCATGAGTCAATTGAAGTTAGGTCACCATGGAAAACCTGTAAGCATTCAACAACCACTTCGTCCTATTGTGAGACTCCTCCATGTTCCCGCCTCGCGAGACTCGAGCTCAGGATCTATCGATCTCGCTTACGAACGCTTAACCTCTAAACCACTGAGCTGACCAATAACATCCAATGATGTTAATATCTAACTTCAACTAATCCATGAAATTCTATTAATTAAATGCTCATTTTTGTTTTTTATTTTCAAAAACTAAAACTGACTTTTAGATTTTCAATACAAATGTCAAGACAGTTCTACTGTATGGGGCGGAAACCTTGAGAACTATGAAAGCCATCATCCAGAAGATACAGATGTTTATTAACACTTGTCTACGCAAAATACTTCAGATTCGTTGGTCAGACTCTATCAGCAACAACCAACTGTGGAAAAGAACAAACCAGATCCCAGTGGAGGAAGAAATCAAGAAGAAGCGCTGGAAGTGGATAGGACACACATTGAGGAAAGCACCCAACTGTGTCACAACACAAGCCCTCACATGGAATCCTCCAAGCCAAAGGAAAAGAGGAAGACCAAAGAATACATAACATCGAGAAACGAAGACATACATGAGAAAAATGAACAAAAATAGGATAGAACTGGGGAAGGAAGACCCAAGACAGAGTAGGTTGTAGAATGCTGGTCGGCGGCCTATGCTCCATTAGGAGTAACAGGCGTAAGTAAGTAAATAAGTAAAACTGCCTATTAAAATATCCCCATTAGAAAAATTAGAAAAAGTCACAATTTTTTTGTTTTTCAACAGTAAAAAAGAAAACGAATTTTTGTTTTTTTTAAACAGTTTCCACATAATTCTGTGAAACTTGAGAAATTGAATGAAAAAAAGTTTTTCAATAACATTCATATATAGAAAAATATTATGAATATATTTTCATTATTGTACAATAACATTCATGTAACCCATCAATTGATGGGTAGAAAAAACAAAAAAAAAACAATCCCTATAGGAACGGGAAACTAATATGATTGCATTTTATTGATTTATTTATATTACACATCTGAGCATAAATAATTTGACCAAATATTCATTTGATATATTCTATGATGATTGATTGTTTTATTATTATTATTATTATTATTATTATCATATTGATTTTTTTGTAAATATTGTTGTTGTATAGGGGATGATATGAATCGATTTTGTGCACATTCGGTATTACATTGATTTTCTATGTTCATATCAAAATCTTTTTGAATTGGATTAGATGAAGAAGCATTTATAGATTTTGTATTATTATTATTATTATTATTATTATTATTATTATTATTATTATTATTATTGTGTAACTTGTATAAAATAGAAATGGAATTAGCCAACGATAATAAACCATCAGCATTTTGAGGATTTACAATGGATTCAGTGGAAAATAGATATTCCTTTTTCATAAAGAAAGCAAAAAAAACAAATAAGAAAATACGTTCATTTACAGATAATTTCTGTTTTTTCTTCTTAGTCTTATCTAAAATATAAAACAAAATTTATTGACTAGATTTTTATTATTTTGTCTATTAAAGTATTTCAGTGACATACTTATTCTAATTGATCTGATTTATGATCAGAATGAGTTTTGTGGAGATTTTTAGAAATTTCAAAGGTTGAAATCATGAGTCAATTGAAGCTAGACCAATATGGAAAACCTGGAAGCACTGGATGCGCACTGCTGAGGAGTCCCATACTAGAACGAACCGGCCGTCCAGTGCTTCCAGGTTTTTCATGGTGGTCTAGCTTGACTCATGATTTCAACCTGTGATCTGATTTATTCTATAGTGAAATCTAGTTGTTTTTTTTTAAACAAAATTACAAACTATAACACTTGTTTTTGTCGAATCATAACAGATTTCATTCATGTTATATTCGTCATTACATTTCATTTAAAGAACAAGTATGGTATATTATAAGTAATTATCTAACCTAAGGATTTCAGCCATTTAAGTAATAATGTAAACTGTCAAATTAGGAAACTTATTTACAGAGTATACAAGCCGTTTCCAACTGAATAAAACAAGTATTTTTTCACTGCTACATCTGCGTTATTTCTGAGTCTCTTATTTAATTACTTACTTACATCTGTTACTCTTCATGGAGGAGCATAGGCCGCCCATCAGCACTCTCCATCCAACCCTAGCCTAGGAAATCTTTTCCAGCTCCTTCCAGTTGTTATTCATCCTTTCCATATCTGCTTTTATTTCCTGACGTAATGTGTTCTTTAGCCTACCTCTTTTCCACTTCCCTTCAGAATTCCAAGTTAAGGCTTGGCCCGTGATGCAGTTTGGTCATTTCCGTAATATATATCCTATCCAACTCCGCCTGTAACACTTCTGAATTTACAGCAGATCCCAAGCCCAGGTAAAGGAGGAGGGTTGGGCATGGGATTAGCGACCTTATTCCGTAGAAAACTAACTCGCTAAAAAATCGCTAACCAGAAAAAATAAGTCTGAGTCTCTTAGATGAACATAAATAGCTACATAGACAACTTCATATAGCTAGGAGATTATTCATGTGTATAATTGTAAATTTATTGAATTTGTGATAAAGTATAACTATTCGATGATTCAATTCAAATCCTCTCAAGCATTTGTTCGCCATATAGAGCTCACATAACAATGTATAATCAAAATATTCTAGATTCAGAAGAGAAAAAAACACAATTCATTTTTTAACTAAGATTATTTATAATCTTACTTTAGGTACACCATAACGATATATTGATTCACGACAACGTCTTAAATTTCGACGATAAGATTTGACTACTTCATTTAACATATTATGATGCTGATCATTTCTAGGTAAACAGATCTAAATAAATAAATAAATAGAGAAATTCATCACTTTTAATAATGTTTAAAAGGCTAAACAATAAAAAGTGTATAACATAAAGTTTATTGAACTGAATGTTATATAGTTGGTAATTTTATAATATGAAGAAATTAAGAAAATCTATACTTCCTCAGTATAATCTACTATGAACAAATCGTAAACAACATTTTTTAAAGGTAATCAGATGACAATAGTTAACCATAAATAGGGATGTGATTAAATTCAAAACCTTCTGAGGTCAACACTATACCCTATCGATCGTATGATATACTTTTCTTAGTAAAAACCTTGTTAAGCCCATATATTTTATTCTAACTTTCGGACAGCCCAATCTATTCATTCTACTTGAGTCGTATTTTGATCTTGTTAATTATTCGCTTATCAGTCTTAACTGTTTTTATATGGGCGTAGATGTGTGTACACTTCATATCTCATGTCTCATCACATGTCTGTAGTTTATTTTGTCTGCCTATAATACTATAATATTGAGTAACGCCTGGCTAAAAATGAGTTGGCTTACTAGCCATCTCCACTGCTCATCATTTTGCTTTGTTCTATTACATTCACTTTACATACAAAATATATGTATTCAAAGGCCATTCTCGTTAATTGACTTACCTAAGTTCCGTTATTGACTAACGTGATTTAAGTCGATGATTGTATACGTAGATAGGTGATAACAAACATTCTTACGATCTACATGGAGTCAGATGCACGGGCCACTAAAACCTACAGAATATACAGTATTTTGTACTCTTCATTACACTTAATTTTTTGGGAAATTATATTTTGCTTAAAGTGACCTATTTAACATTTATTTTAACAAATTGTGGAGATTCTACAAAATTAAAAAAATATATGAAGTAGGACTGTTAAATGTTAAGTGAATTTCCATCTTTCTTCTGGGAGTCAATAGTAGCTCAAATAGTTCAGTAGTAAGGTCTCAGATTGTGAAACTGGTTGAATTGTATTAGAAACCCATAGGGAGCATCAAGTCTCTTACAATTACGTTTAAACTTTATTGATCAGTCTCAAATGACAGGAAACCTAGGCCCACGATTTATTAGTCAACTAACTACTTCCAATCAACATCTCGAAAAAGTGAATGTGACGTCTAGTCACTCAGACAAGTAGCCACATAGTAACTTAATCTATAGAACTTGATTAGCACTACAAACTAGACAAATACAGTGTTGTGTCACTACTCAGTGATCAATCAATTGCAAACTAACACCAGCTATGAAACTGCTGAAAATGTCTACGAACTGTTGAATAGACTTCAATAAGCAATAAAGTGGCCATTCACTGCTGTTTATGTTCACCCTGATCTTCCAATTGACATCAGTGGACAGTGAAAAACTAAACCTTATAATAATAATAATCCTATACTTGATACTAATTAGGTTAGAGAAAGAGAAACTCACCAATAGAAAGTTGGCTCAGTAGTCTAAAGGTTTAGTGTTAGTGCGCGAGACCAAAGGCCCTGTGTTCGAATCCCGAGTGCGGAATCATATATGCGCACTTCTGTGGAGTCCTATACTAGGACGAGACGGCCATTCAGTGCTTTCAGGTTTTCAATGATGGTCTAACATTGATCCATTCATGATCTCAATCAATGAAAAAGCAGCCAATTGACCATATAATAAACTTTGAGTGAACGGAGCTAACATTTACTTTTGTTTTTTGGTATAAGATAGTGAACTGAAGTTCTCTGAACAGAATCTCAGACAAGAACGCATCATTATGAATGATTATTCACTGATTCATAAAACTACCATGTGGATATTCAGTAGTTGATTTGTATATATACACAAATATCAGTTTATGCCATAGCTGAACTCAAATGTATTTTATAAATTATTACTGAGGATATATTATAACACATTGATTGAATACCATAAATCCGACAACATAATTCATACTAGCCGACCTTTTGGGACTCTAACCTGTCTAATACTATGTGTAATAAGAGAAGTAAAGACATAATTGATTGGAGTACGGATGACATATGGAATGGATTTTTTTCTAAACAATTATCTGTAACATGTAATTACATACTGATAAGGAGTTTTAGTGATCCGGAGATCTGACTCGAGTTAAATCGTTTGTGATTGTTATCGAATGATTGCTGTCGAAATATACATATCGTCAACCCTCATTTATAATCATTGACTTAACTCGCGTTGGTGAAGAACAGAATTAAATAAGTCAAATAACAGAGTGAATTTCGAATACATGTATTCCATACAATTGTTTATTCAAAAAAACGAGTGGAGAAACGAAGCGCAATGACGCGCGGTGGAGAAGGTGTGTTAGCCAACTCAATTTAATCAAGCGTTAGTCGATATTTACAGATAAGTTACAGACATGTGATGAGAAGATAAGAAATGCACACACATACGCTAACATAAAAACAATCGCGGTTGGTAAGCAAATAGTTAACAAGGTCAAAATGTGATGTAAGAAGAACGTATAGATTGGTCTATCCAGAAGCTAGAATAAGCTTTGCGGGCTTGACATAGCAACTGACACTACAGAGTAGTTGTATAGCTTGGCCAATCAGTTATATCCGTTATTTATAGATTCCTAATTGTATGACACGGAAAATGTGTTTATATAGTAGGTTATTGAGTGTTCGATGATACATACTACTTATTTCAAATTATGCAAATCTAGCTGTAAATAAATCATATAAATATTGGTGTATTCAGATATTAGTTTCACTAATTTTCTTAGCTCAAATCAGTTTTCGTGTTCTCACTACGCGTCATTGGATTTAGAGTTTAAGTGCCATGCACAAGCCAGTTAGGTGATTCTGCAGACACGACAGTGGCAGACGTAATAATATGTATTTACAGTCCTTAAGATCTTGTCGTTTATAAAACAGCTTTGATAATAATAGAATGATTTATTTTATTTGAAGTGAGCAATGGGTATTAAATTACATAAATAAACCCCTACACAATTTCATATTAGAAAAATATGATTATTGTAAGTAAATTTCCTAGAATCATTAATTGAAAATATCTTAGTTCTATAGGAAGTCAATCACAGGTTGAATCGCTCAATGGCGACGTCTCAGTCCACGATATAGGTTTGAATCCGAAAAGAAGCATCTGTTCTCTCGAGATTGCAAGTACGTCTTGCTGACAAGTGGCAACTAGTACGAAACCTAGTTTTAGTGTTTCGTGGTGATCGACTCCAACCATCTAACACAAATTATGGTTTCTAATTTCTGTAAGGTAACGCATTTAGCGAAAACAGACTCAATTTTTTAGTATAAATAATGAAATCAATTACAGTAGGGTATCATATTAATTTCAATTAACAATTATAATAATTCACCCTTGATTCAACCATTTATAAATCATAATACTAAATGACATTTTACAATCTATGGACAATACCTTTAATGACTGACTAAATAAGAGGAGAATAGTTTCAATTATCCTTATTATTTATATACTTTAATTAGTGGTTGATGTTATATCCCGATGAGCATAATAAAAGGTAACCGTTGGAATCCATTTATGGACTAATATTATATGTATCTTCTTATTGTATTACTATTAAGTGACTATATTTTGTGTTTTTATATTCTTTTCATTATAAGCTTTTATTTGACCTATTAACTATTATCATACAATTTACCATTTTTGAAATATACCCAATTTAGTAGTAGCAGCTTCTCACAATCACGGCTATTTTTGGCTAGATCTTGTACAAATTATATTATCTATTTTATGGTGTGATATGGTCTGATTTGTTTGTATATAAACCCAGTATGTTTTAAATATATGATTCATATCGTGGAGGCTGAGATTGGCGTTCTGGACTTAACAGGTAGGGTTGGGCGGGAAAAGGACCGATTAGGACTATAGGCTGTCCATACAGGTGTATGCGTCATTAGTTGATCGTATAAGTCAGCGTATCTAAATTGGCAATCGTATTTCGCGATGGTCGTATAGGTAATGTCATAACAGTTGGAATTCGAAAAAGTGAACTTTTGGATCCCACTTATTTAATCTCAGTATTTAAAACAGAACGATATGGAAAGTTTACTAAAAAGAGTTAAATATAATCTCTAAATCCTTTGTTCGATGATATTTAATTGCAATTCTGTAGTAAAATAAGGTTATGCTAGAAATTTATTCAACTAGAATGACAGATTGATTTTACACCGATTAAATGTAAATGATGTAACATCTAGTACTTAGTGTTGACTGAATTCTATCGACTGTGTTGTAAATTAGTCACTAGTTCAAGTGAATCAACATTACAGTGACTGAGTCGATAAGGCGATGGCGTTTGAAGTGAACGGTACTGGGTTTGTGTCCCAGAGTGAACATCAACTCTGGGATATAAGTATATCTACCTGACGAGTTCAAACACGCGTCCTGGACTCCACTGTTAGTCACCATCCACCTTTGCTTATAATGCCTGTGAACTAAGGCAATATCGGGGCAATATGCACAGGATGTACATATTCCAATAAGAGACATCAATAGGAAGATACAAACAAACAATACAAAATGAATCATTATAGTATACATTTTTGAAGTTGGGTATTTGTAGGTAATCGATTGGAATCTCTTGTCTAATCCTATCGACTACGCACAAATGAATATTATTAGACTCATGACGGTAAATAAGAATGGTAAATTTAGTTTACAGTGAATGGGTTGTACTTAATACATAAAATTTAGATTAACTGAACTAGAGACAAATGAAATAGGCTCCAAAAACTAACAGTTTATAAAATTCCCGTAATCATCTATACATTAATCAAATGTTGGTCGTATGCAAATGACAAATTTTCTGGAAATCTATAAATTTCTGAGACTAAAGAGGGGTAACCTAATTCAAATATTATTTTCATAAATAAATAAAATTTTCGTAATATTAGATTTAATATAATCATTCAAATTGTTTCGAGCTACTCACAAGTAATATAAAAGTAAGTATATAAAATTTGAAGCAGGATTGAAGAATAGTTCATCAATTTAATAGCATTATGAATCCATTTCCTTAGAAATTAACTGATATTACCATATAACATCTAGCTTCTGGAACTTCTAGATACTAAAAAGTCTTACTTTATTTTTTGTTGATGTATAGATTTGTCCATATATCCCACTACTATATTGCAATACATGGAATAACTCAGATTAAACTACATAAAGACTATCGAAGTCTATTTAGTGGTTAAAAGCTTTTTAATACAAAAGAGAAAAATAAAAAAATATTATATTATCCGATTTTTTTGACACTTTTACATATATTTCTTATTTGTAAGATTTCAGTCGATGTAAAGTTAGGGATAAATTTACGAACTGCTCATGAGTCCCATACTAGGACGAAACTGCCGTCTTGTACTTCCAGGTTTTAAATAATGATCTGACATTGATCGGCTCATGATATTAATTAAAATTCAACAGTCCCCACAATTTTATATTGATAGTAGATTTATTATTTATGTTGACGAAACTTTATGTACCTCGAATTCTAGTCTTTTATATTCTTCAATAGATTGATTTGTACTCGCAATAATCAAATAATCACCATTCTGGATTGTTCATAAAGTAGATTATGTCTATCAGAGTAGACATTTTTATCCTAATTAGAGACTATGGAGGTTCAACTAATTTAAAAATAGGTTCTGTTTGATAAACGATACAATTCCGACCAAAACATTTGTACATCTTCATAGGGGATGTGAACAAAACTGACTATGAATACATATCGACAGCTAAGAGTACAGTTTATTAGTCCTCTTTGGTGAAAGCATAAAGACGAATACTTATGCGAGAAAATTATTGATAATTCATTATTTTTAAGTGGCTGATAAGTTGACAAGCTAATTAACCTAGTAAAGACTATTTCTTGTATAAGCTATGAACACTAAATGTTTGTGGCTTCGCTAAAAACAAATATATGGGTAGGTTTAGTGTTGACAAAAATGTAGGATCTTTTTCCTAGCTTTCAGAAGACTGATGGATGAAATGCACTAACCACAGTCAAAATAGACCGGTGATAACCAACTATGATGTCGAGTACCGTGACTTAGCATATCACAGAGAGTACAAGTTCCCTTTGGATTCCAGGTCCTCTTTGCTAACCTCGGTCTAGGGTTTCCTGACAACTATCTTCAACCACCCAACGTTTTAGTTTCCTTAGCCTAACATCATCAACATTAGTATACAATCAGGAAATAAGCATAATATCTTGAATCAAATGACTTGTCTTCACAATTGATTGATCACTGGATGGTGATCGATGTCATATGTGTCACCCTATCTTTAGTGCAGATCGAATGCTACCGACCAAGTTGAAATGTGTCCACTAGTCTGAGTGACTCGACATTGCGTGACTTGTCTTAAATATCTAACAATGAATAAAACTTTCTAATTTTGTATATATGTTTGATCGATATTTGTATTGGATTCATTTATTGACAGATTTCTATATATCCTCCCATAGTTTTGAGACTATATCTGTTAGTAGTTAAAGAAATATGAGTATATTTTGAGCTGATTTGAATAGGTTGTTCAGTTAAAAGATTAACCACATGCCCATGTGATAGGGTATATATATATTGATAAATAGACTTATAGTTGGTCGCCCAATTTCGTGGATTGGTTGATGTTAGATACTAACACCATTGGATGCCGGCTCAGTGGTCTGGTTGGTTAAGCGCCTGGCGCGAGACCAATAGGTCCTGGGTTCGAATCTCACAGGGAGCGGGATCGTGGATGCGCACTGCTGAAGAGTCCCATACTAGGACGAAACGGCCGATCAGTGCTTTCAGGTTTCCAACGGTGGTCTAACATCAATTGATTCATGATCTCAGTCAAAAACCTAATTTGAATAGGTTGTTCAGTTAAAAGATTAACCACATGCCCATGTGATAGGGGATACATATATATTGATAAATAGATTTATAGTTTAATACCTTCTTTTTAACAGTAAGCAATTTAGAATTTACAAATAACAGTACTCATAAACATATAAATATTGGTGCAAACGGATACCAAAATATTTCTGCGCCACACAATAAAAGTGATATCGTGAAGAGATAGAGAAAGTCATGCCTGGTAAATTATCAAGTCACTGTGTTCCACCATTCCTAAGACCCCAAGAAAAAAGTCGTGGAGGACCAACAGAAGCCAGTTCTGTACAGCTCTATCTCATACCATGATACCACGTTGTAAACTGGCCGCCTCTCCTCTTTTTCCAACCACTATCAGCGTCAGCAAATAATACACGAAGTGGAATCCGATGGGGTGACATTTGTAGTACATGTCCAAGCCATCGAATTCAGTGTCTCAACATAGTGACACCAACTGAATTATAATCATTGTGCTCAAATACACATTTCCGAAACTTCGCATTACTAGCATGGTATTGCCAATGAATGTCAGAAATGTTTCTGAGATAAAGATAGTCAAACACAGAGAGTCGCTTGACATAATCAACTTGGAGTGGCTTGATTTCACAAAAACTGAGTAAAACTGCTCTCACTGATGCATTGTGAATTTGACTTTTTAGTCAGAGCAATATCATGAAGGTGCTAAAGATGGTCCAGATTATGACTAACTGCTCTGACTTTTATTATACATGGATTAATCTCATCATCACCACCACCACCTAATAGCTATTTATTTTCCAACTCATACAGCTCCTTCCCTATGTTTATCAGTAGGACAGGGTGTATTCTCTTGTTTTTATAAGTATCCAGATTAATGCAGTACGGTTAAAAAAAATTGTTTGGAACTAACTTAGCCTTGATATTAATTCACGAGTGTTTCACTGTAAAGTGTGATAACTGCATAAAGATACCATCTTCATGACTGAGTATCCGCTTTCTTTATTCTCGACAATGTGATTCAGACTATTTTGTGAGGGTTTATATCTCTCCGGTATTGACGCTAAGGGCTGTAATTGATTAGCCACTATTTTCATACGAACAACGTAGGTGAACTGCCTCAGTATTTTCATTCATTCAGAAGATGGTCAGTAGAAATATTGTGTCAGTCCTTTCAGGATATATATATATATACATATAATAATGAAGACTGATCATCTGCAGTCCTTAACATCTACAATGAAAAAGTCTAAGCCTTTTCAAATAAAATTCATAACCTAATGGCTGTTTGGATAACGCGTTGATGCTTGGAGTGAAAGGTAGGAGATTCAAATCTCAGTATATACATGAACACTGAGGTGACAGTAAATTCAATCAACCAGCCGGAATAGAATGAAACACCCTTCCTTGATCATATTGTTGGAAACTCTCCAAAGTTAAGAAAACTTTGATACATATTTATTTGTCGTAGTCATTTGATTCTTTACATTGATGTTTAAGACTGCAATTTATCAGCTTCTTTCGGCATATGTGCACTTAGCGCGAATTGTCTCGACGTCGCTACTTAGTCACAAGCATTCTAAAAAGAGATAGAAGGTAACCAGCAGTGGAACCCAGGAAGCACGTTTTGTTATATTTGGAACTTGTCTTCTATATATACCTGCTTCCCTAAGTTAATATTCACTCTATTATTCGAAACTGTGTTCAGACTGTGTCCAGATTGCCATTAAGTTACAAACCAGTAGTTATCTGGATTCAGGAACTTAATGGATAACACATTGAAGTTTGCAGCGAAATGCTTAGGGTTTAAATACCGAAGTTTGCATCAACTCCGATGCAGGTAAACTCACTTGACAATTCCTAAATAAGATGAAACATACATTTTGGACTCCACCTCTTGCTACTATCCATCTCTGCTTAAGATACTTTTAATAGATATTGTTACATGTAATAACAATTCAAACAATAACTATCAATATTTATTTAAGGAATAGAGAATGTAATTGTTATTCATTTGATGGTATAAACAATCAATTCAAACGAATGAATCACAAGTTAAAACAAACTCACTTTGATAGTTGATGTTGTCCCGATAAATTTATTCAATAACTGAATTAAAATAACACCAGTACTTAATTCAATAATTAAGTGTTTTGGATTAATTGGTAGACGAATATTTAATTCTTTATCGATTATCTATGAAAATCATTATCAATAAGTAAAAATTGATTAAGAACTATTAAGAAATGAATAAAATGTTTATCATCATTATGTTGTCTAAATATGGAAGATTATATAAAAGGTACTAAGAGGAAATGGTCTTGATTTTTCAAAATCAATAGAATAGTCTTTTATAAATTACGTCTTTTCACCCAGTATTCGCTTAAAATGATACTCATAAACGTTTTAACAGAGATTTTGTTTACACAAATAGATGATACTTAAAATAAATGATAAGTTCAAAATGTCAGAAGGGGATTTTGTGGATATTATAATAATTTCAATAGTTGAGATCATGATTCAATTAAAGCTAGACCATCATGGAAAACCTGGATTCGAATTTCGCGATGCAGGATCGTGGACGTGCAATATCAAGAAGTTCCACAATAGAAAGAAACGAAAGTTCAGTGCTTCAAGGTGATCTAACTTCAATTGACTTATGATTCCAACTATTGAAAAAGTACAAAATGCCTTAAACTATATATATATGTATATATAACTGATAGAAACAATGATGTAATCAGTATGTGTTGAGAACAAAAGAAGGAATTAACTCATTTTGACTTACTGTTCTTAATTGATTAATTCTTATTAAATCATCAGAATTTAATTCCTCCCATTTAACAGTATCCTTATGTGAATTCATTTTCATATACTTCGATGTATCTATATTGCGAATTTCACTTTTTCTACTGATATCTTCACTTAAATAATCAGTAGATAATGTTATACTTGAATCTTGACAATGTGTATTGGTTTGTGGTTGATAATTATATGAAGTTTGAAAGTTTTTAGGTAATTTTAAAGTACATTCTGAAGGCATACACAAAGCAACACCAACACGTGTTATTTTATTAGATATATCTTCATTATATAAACTATTTTTATGAGGATGATATAATAGTTGTGTATGATTTCTTTGATTCATCAACTTTTTATCACTATGGTATTGATTAAAATTTTGACAATCATATCCATTTGTTTGAGATCTATTACAATTTTCTGATAAATATGAATCTGGTGTTATATAACCAGAACTACTATGAACATTTCTATCATGTTCTATCTAAAATTAAATGTAATCGAAATGATTGAACTGATCAATTAAGATATTAAAATAAACAATAAAACAATTGATAATATTTTATATAAAAAATTATTAATATTTTAATTAAAACATTTAATGTCATTAGTCATGGTAACATATTTTCTGGTTAATACATTGTTAAAACAACATCTAGTGAGATCTGTTTGAATATCTAGTCTACCTGTTCAGGCCATTTGGATATTTCAACAAGTTATCTATTTTATTGTTTGTTTTAACACATCATTATACCCATTAGTCGCATAATCTATTCAGGAGTGTTTAAGACAAGTTTACGACATTTTGTTGTACAAGTTACAGAAGTGTCCAATCAGAGACATCGTAATTACTGTTAATATGCATCGAAAAGAATATACATTATTCAAATGTTGATTCCTGAACTACTAATATTTAACTGTAGACCACTCAATATTTATCGCAAGAATCGATCAAGAAATAAGGGAATGAAACTTGTCGAAATACTTTGTGCTGAGAATTCTACATTGTACCAAAAATATAATATAGAATGAAGCCAATAATAATATAACTGATAATAAAAATGGAGCGAATGAGGATTTGAGCTTATTAAAGATAGCCATATTAACGAGATATATATGCGATTGAGAAGACGCCTGTAAGTTTTCAGCATGACACTAAATATCGTCCAATTTTTTTTAAAAATAAAGTACGTTCAATTACTGTTCACGGTATGTTATACATTTACCAATATTTCACTAAATAAACTATGCTTGTATAGTGTAACTTTGAAACAGTTATGTAGGTAATATCGTTATGAACGTATATATATATATATATATATATATATATATATATATATATATATATATATATATATATATATATATATATATATATATATATATATATATATATATACTATTTACAACGTTTAAATTTGGATATTTTTTTCAGAACCAGTCTATATCAATGGGTAATCTAACATTAGATAAACTTTTAAAATGGTTCACTTATATTAGGAGACAGATCCAACTATCCAACTATCCCAATTTGTTCCAATTATAATTATAAGCAAGATAATAGTCTACTAATCAAATTCTGGATATACTGAGTACCAGTTTTTCGTGGATTACTTTAAGACTGTAAATGTTGCTCTATCAAAAGGTAGAGGATCTATGAAGATGGTTAATATTCAATCATAGATATTTAAAAAAATTGTTTCTTATGATATTTGAGCAGAACTGACATGTTAGTAATAAATCGGTCAACTTTTCATGAAAAAGCTGAAGAGAGAAATTTTCGCATTAGTATCCATAAATGACTACTTTCCTAAACAGTATTTAAATGAATTGATTGTCAAGGCATGTTGTTAATATATGCTCCCCTGTCTGTTTGGTATTTTGAACGTCAAACATATTTAAATTGCTAGGAACGTGGTAGATTGAATAGATGTTCGGTGTTATAATTTAATTGGTAGCTGCTTCTATATCCTGTAAATTATTATTATTATTATTATTATTATTATTATTATTATTATTATTATTATTATTATTATTATTACGCAAAATGTTCTATGGAGTTAATCAGTTTGATTACGGATGATTATATGTAACAAGTGACTCTGAATTAAAAATGAATGGAGACATAGAGAGTAATTTTTGTCCATATTTTGTTATTATTATCAATCGGGATGGGACAAGAATGTTTACTATCCCGTGAATAAATTGTTTGCATACAGGTCGTATCAGTATAACAGAGACGTTTTGTGGTTGGATAAAGTATAAGATAAAGCGTTAATGACACTAAAAAAATGTCCCGGATTCGATTGAAATCAGAAAGCCTCATTACTTTGCTTCAGTGACTCCTTGAAATAAAAAAACGTTTACTTTGAAAGTTTAGTTTGATTCCATTTAAAAGAGGGTTTATTCATTATATATAGTCGAATGATAACATAATCTAACAGTATTTTTGTGACGGCAAAGTAGTTGAATTCAGCTCCTGAAAGTATTTCTAATGAATAATAACCCCAAATTATTTAAATTCAAATATTAGTTTTGAAAAAGTATTTACGAAACATCTTACAACTACTGTATTTCGAACAAAAAATCATTCTCATTGTAATATACTAACACACTACTCATGAGTAGCTAAACTCCTATCTCTGAATTTCCAAACCTCAGTAATCAGTTTTGTTGGGAACACGAGATTTATTTCAAGTTTAATAAACAAACTTAGAAGGTTTCTGTACGAATATACAAATCATGCATCCAATCTAAAACTGTTCTGTCAAAAACAGAGTTTTTCATTAAAATATAGCTAGGTAGTTGTAAAATACAGATTAACATTTTCTTTACACTCAGTCTAGATTTACAAAATCTTAATAAGTTATTAAACGTCTCATGAGAGAAAAATTTACTGCATATTTGTTCACTTATGATAATTTATTTCGAACAGTAGTTTTTGACCCTCATGAACTATTTAGCCGACAAAAATATAGTTTGAATATACAACACTTACGTTACCAAACAAAATATCTTTACAATTACTTAGGTAATAAGCATTTTGCTTAGTAATAGTAGATAATTTAAATAAACGTGTTTTATGGTACTAAATAACATGGAAGCAAATTTATCACTCACCTGCTGACGTTTAGAATAACGTAACCGATTATAACTAGAAATGGGACCACCTTTATCACGTCGATCGTATTTAAAAGAAGAATTATTTGTTGGACAATCTTCAATCTGACCATTTTTAGTTGGCTCACAAATATTACATGGTGTTTCATTTCTAATGATATAACTGCTAACTGTTTGTACTACTGAAGACTCTACTGCTGAATCATCTTTATTCAGAACCGTTGGTACTATTGCCTTCTTTGTATTGTCATTGCCGGGAGAGATAGGTTGTTTAACTTTTTAAAAAATTATCACATTGTGATATGTATCAGAAAATTAGTAGATGAATTAAAAATGTGACATTTAAATCATTCAAAAATGCATCTTATAAAACAACATATACTTCAACCAAGAACATACGTAGTACCAATGTCATTTGTATGTCCCATACCTATATACAAACTAAATCTTCTCGATATTGTATACATATATGGATAAGTATGGTGATTAGATCGAAAGAAATACTTTCCATACATTTAATTTATATCATAACAATTTAAGAATAAAGAGACGTTTTTGTCAAATAAAATGAATAACTGATAAGTAGTACCTCTACACAGTTATTAATTATTGTATAATAAGATGAAACATATCATAGCTATTAAAAAGTAACAAACTATTGCAGAATGACATCTTCAGTCAACTTAAGAATAAGAAATACGTATGAAGTAGTTGATAAACACTAGCCGAATGTAACTCAGTGCATTATATCGATAAGACAAAAAAGAATATCGACAATACAATGGAAATATAATCTTGCAAAATCATCAGATTAACATAAAGAGGCTATGCATAAGAATTCTAGACCGAAAACATTTCTGAGCATAAGAAATAAGATATGAGTATTACTATGTGCAACCATAGGAACGCATCGATTTTATGTTTTGTTTATATCATAGAACTGATTATTGTACAAGCAAAACGTTTGTGTACTTTCCAGCTAAGACTTAACAAAATATTCCTTAAAACTGTATTTTATTTATTTATTTGAACACATAAATATTAGTACAAAGAGGCACCAAATACATATGCGCCACATATACACCTTATTTCAAGCACCCTTTATTTGTTTGTTTTTTTACGACTGTAAGTAAAACCAGTAAATATAATTGGGAATGAAATGATAATCGAATTTAGCTGCAGTATAATATTAGTTTACTGACACCGTAAAGTGATGAATTAAAATGAAAAGAAAGCTTTTGTGAATCCGTGGCGAGACTCTAATTTATGGACGACCTTTGAACGAATCTTAAGCAACCTTGAGAAATGTTAGCCAATCAGCAAACAGTCAGTATAGAGTAAAAATATGTTATGCAAAACCAAAGAAATAAAGTAGATACACTTCTTATACGTGGTTCAAAAACTTGTCAAGGTTAAAAAGAGGTTCAGAGGTTCTAAAATCGTACTGCATGCAGTAGAGGAAATCATCCATACGGCTACAGAATAGTCGGTCTCTGGAGTCATGATAAAGTCTCAAAAACCCTTTCAGCCTCGACCATATAACTTCAATATTGTTTATGTGCACTCCGGTTGTTGAGTGCACAAAATGCTACTTGTGGATAACGACACGATGCACATAAACAAGCCTATGTAGGAGTCTACGCTCTCCAAATATCCGTATATATTATAGTACATGGCTGCAGCCAGTGTTACTGGTACTTTTATTATCCAGTTCGCAACAATTGTCGTAACTTGCCTTAGGAATTATATATGGGGCTTTCATCACCAACTGACATCAGTTATAATACCGGAAATTTATTTAGCCAAATGGATGAGAGGCTTTCACGTTAAAATCCGAGATCTAATATCTTATACCTGATTGATCGGTCCACAAATTATAGTTTCACCGTTTTATTTGTTATAGCCGCTCAATTATCACATTTTGTACGAAATTCCCTGTGAACCGATCGTATGTTAGCATTAAGTACTGAAGTTGGCGCCGTAAACTTTAAATCTCTAAAACGCCTCTGATTGGCTCGTTCATAAATTAGAGTCTCGCTGATCCGTCCATTATCTGTTGACTTGTATTGACATCAAATTTGAGTTAGTTTTACAACTCTATAGTTTTCTACATGTATACAAACATAAGAGATTATTTAATTATGTTTAATAATTCTTGAACTCATTTAGTTATGTACAAGTGTTTGCTGATTCAAATAATGCATCAAAGTATTTTGATCATTTTAAATTGTCAAGTGACGAGCAACAAAATTGACATTTAACCGTTCTGAAAATCTATTATCCTTTCATAGTACTTTAAATATACTTGAAGACTTTCCTCATCAAAAAACATGATACTTATCAAACTTACATTTCATTTAAAAGAAAAATAAACGATTGAATAGTATGCAGGTCTAGATAACTATTTCATCTCAGTTTGAGACTCTTCGAACAAACAATCAAATCAATGACTTTTAATTCTTAAAGAAGGGACATAATATTTTCCAACCAATGAGTTAATTCGAAAATTTCACTTTAAGTCACATTTTTTAAAACACACTATGACTAGTACACAATGTTATTGTTGTCTTGATTTTAATATTTTTAACTGAACAGATTATATGTTTTGTCTAGGACGTTAAGAACTTCCCTAGTGAGCTAAAAATCAATTTTAACTAGTATAATCTACTGTTTAACTCCGCATGTAGCTCTTCTAGAGTTAGAGCCGGTCCGAAGCCCGGGTAAAGGAGGAGGGTTGGATATGGGGTTGGCCACCACATCCCATGGAAAACTAACTAGCTAATAACACGCTAACCAGAAATAATTTACTGTTCATTATTATCAAAATCTATGGATCATTGTGGAACAATCAATTGAATGGAATTCGTCACTCTGCATCAACTTCATTGACTACGTGAAAGCATTTGACAGCGTGGACAGGACAACACCATGGAAGCTTCTTCGACATTACGGCGAGCCTCAGAAGATAGTCAATAGCATACAGAATTCCTATGGTGGATTAAACTGCAAAATTGTGCATGGAGCACAATTGACAAACTCGTTCGAGGTAAAGACCAGTGTTAGGGAGGGTTGCTTACTCTCACCCTTTCTCTTTTTTCTGATGATCGACTGAATCATGAAGACGTCAACATCTGAGGGGAAGCATGGAATACAGTGGATGACTAGAATGCAGTTGGACGATCTAAACTTCGCAGATGATCTGGCTCTTCTATCGCAAACGAAACAACAAATGCAGGAGAAGACGATCAGGGTAGCAGCAGCCTCAGCAGCAGTAGGTCTCAATACACAAAAAAGGAAAAGCAAGATTCTCCGATAGAACAGAGTATACAACAATTCAATCACAATTGACGGGGAAGATTTGGAAGATGTAAAAACCTTTACATATTTGGGAAGCATCATTGATGAACATGGTAAATCTGATGCAGAAGTGAAGGCGCAAATCGGCAAAGCAAGAGCAGCGTATTTACAACTGAGAAACGTCTGGAACTCAAAGCAACTGTCAACCAACACGAAGGTCAGGGTTTTCAATACAAATGTCAAGACAGTTCTATTGTATGGGCCGGAAACCTGGAGAACTACGAAAGCCATCATCCAGAAGATACAGATGTTTATTAACAGTTGTCTACGCAAAATACTTCGGATTCGTTGGTCAGACTCTATCAGCAACAACCAACTGTGGGAAAGAACAAACCAGATCCCAGCGGAGGAAGAAATCAAGAAGAAGCGCTGGAAGTGGATAGGACACACATTGAGGAAAGCACCCAACTGTGTCACAACACAAGCCTTCACATGGAATACTCCAAGCCAAAGGAAAAGAGGAAGACCAAAGAACACATTACATCGAGAAACGAAGACATACATGAGAAAAATGAACAAAAATTGGATAGAACTGGGGAAGGAAGACCCAAAACAGAGTAGGTTGTAGAATGTGGTCGGCGGCCTATGCTCCATTAGGAGTAACAGACGTAAATAAGTAAGTATTATCCTAATAATTTAATGATCATCAATAAATTCTATTACTATGAATGATATAAATTTCATTTATTTATTTATTAAGGTATTTAACAAAACAATCTGTATAAGTGAATAAATATTTTTGTTTAAAATTGATTTTAACTATAAATAATTAGAAATGTAGATTTATCTTTTTCATAACCATTTAACAAATTCAAATGACTGTGACTGTGTAATAAGACTATAGGGAATTTATTTCATAACTAATGAGATATAATTGATTGATTTGATTTCTATAATATTACTACTTAAAATAGTAATTGGTAGAAGAAAAAGAAAAAAAGAAGAAAATGAATTAAGTAAATAATAATGGAAACGTTTTTTGATGGATTTATGTTCTCTTTGCTGGATGGTTTGGTTGTGGAGCTTTCATTGTTCTTCTGAACGACATCATCAGTACAAACTTCAGATAAAATCATCCATCTGAGCTACAAATTTTCTTCACCATCTTAATAATGGAAACTTATATTGAATTTAATGTTTTAAAATAAAATAATCAAATATGATATAATAATGAACTCACCATGGGAGTTATTGATAGTTTGTGTCAATTGTTGTGAAATATTTGATGTTAAATAGAAAACTTCATTTTCATTCTTATCAAGAATAACATTCTGTAACATAGAAACATAAAAAAAAAAGAATTTTAAGTTTAACAAACGGAACAAACAAACAGAACAAAACTCCACCAAAAACAAACGGAATACACCCATTTAGATAATAAATAAGAAAGAAAGATTAGTTCAGCGAAGAGTTCTCTTTTCGGCGAATCCATTTTCAAAGCTGTAAAATCGCATATATATATATATATATATATATATATATATATATATATATATATATATATATATATATATATATATATATATATATATCAACAGGCTGATAATAATACTGATAGTAAACTTGTGATACATGATGACAGTGAGGTTAAATAAACAAAGGTATTAAAAAAATTTTAAAACAAGGAAAGTTTAATAAATAAGAACTTTCGTCTAAATTTGAACGAATAGTTTCATAATATTTGGGCACCGAGTTAATGTGAGTCATTAAAGAGGAAGAATGTATTTGTTAAATCTCAGCGAAACAATTTGAAGTAAATCCAACATTTCGCCTGGCAATCTGGTCCAAGCTTTTTCAAGGAAAATAATAATCGTTTGGTCTTAATGTATTAAAATTTCTCTTTTTTTTCACACTCTTGTTCCTTTACAGCCATCTGCTTCACCTTCCGTCTTCCCTTTAAATCTTCTACCTCCAATTGGTTTGTTTTTATTTCCACGATCATTCCGATTACATTTCATCTCAATTTCAACATTTTATCTTGCTGAGCCATCCTTTCCCAATGATATTTTCCCTATCTATCTTTTGATGAATACTTAAGCCATTAACAATTGAACGATTATTAAACTCTCCTCGTTTAAAATAAATGTTTTTAAATACCTTTGTTTATCCAACCTCACTGTCACCATGTATAACAGAAGTTTATTATCAAGATTATTATCATCCTGTGAATATAAGTATATATATTTGCAATTGTACAGTTTTGAAAATGAATTCGCCGAAAAGAGAACTCTTCGCTGAACTAATCTTTCTTATTTAATTTTAAGTTTAGACAATAAAACTATGATAGCTTTTCATTCTATATTATCATATCTTAATTGTATGTTGTTTAGTAAAGGTTTGCTTCAATAGAATTTATAGTTAAACTAAGAATATAATAAAATGCATACAATCTATTTCATAATATTATAATATAACTTAGAAATTTAATGCCCGAACTTGTTATGGATCTTGTGTCTTTGGTTGAATTCTCACGTACGAAATTGTGGATGTTCTTTATTGAGTAGTCGCATATTTAAACAAAACGATGATCTAGTACTTATAAGTATTCAATAGTGATATAACTTAGAGTGATTTATGATTTTAAGGAAATTTTACAATCTTTACAACCGTTTACTGTTAGTTTTTATGGATTGTTGATTGATAGATTGTTATTAAGGCGTTAGAATGTATTACATTCCAAACATTTACAATCTTTTATCTTGATATCTTTTGCCTCATAAGCAAATGGTTAGTCACAATCCATAGGTCTATTGAGTAACTCTTCAAAGACTTGAAATCATCTATGTCATTGTATTTTACATAAATATCGTACTTCATTGGAATATGGTAAATCATTTTGAATAATCAGACTCTGACAATTGTTACGGTGGATATTTCGCATAATATCTTCAGAAAATCTTCCATTAAAATAATACATAAAAGTAATCTATCAATGTTTTTTTTCTATAACGAATTATGCACTAATCGCTTTAAAGCAATGTCAAACATATGCTTTAAATAAAAGTTGAACATTGACAAATTCTTTTGACATTGTCTATTAGTTATGAAATATCTTCTTTTAGTATTAGCTGATCGATATAACCAAATACAGAGTGAACTTCACATCTCATACAAAGACCTATAATGATCTATTATTGAACTGGAATTAAAAAAGGGGTAGAAGATATATTTCTTGTTATTCGGAATAGTATGTGTACTATACTTATCAATAAGCTACACTCTGGTGTTTGAGCTACACTTAATGGTTTAAAATACTACCTTTGAAATAATTAAGTCAAAGCCGATATAAAAAGAAGCAGAGATATAAAAGAAGTATTGTCTTTATAAATATGTACGGAGTCGTACTGGTATGTTGTTCACTATTCAAGCAGAAGTCAATTCTAAATAATGCTAATAATAAGATTCTTCTAACAGACAGACTTTTAGAATTCTTTCTATTTGGTTGAGTCGCAATTCCGAAGTAGAGTTTTTCCACTTATCAGTGCAGTAAAGTGTAATAAAATAATTTGACAAAAATATTGTACGACATAGACAAATAAACACTGATTCTCCCATCGTTCTATCTGTATTAGCTATAACAATTGATAATTTCCTAAATATATTATGGAAGTTTTACTGTTATCGTATTATATGTACTTGACAATTTGAAGATACGGTTGAACTCCATTGGTCACGGTTTCTTATTAGAACTCCAGGAAATCCATCTTGAAGCTAATCACTAGTGAGCATATGATAATTATCAGTATAAAGTTGTGGAAATTGTTGAGTTTAGATTGATATCTAAAGATAAATCAAGTGTACTTCTAAATTTGATCAATGGAAAATTTTACTTCTTAACAATGTGATACGTTGATTTATCATGAGAGAATACTAAATGTGATGTAGGTATAACTAGTGCTTAAAAAACAAAGAAAAGAAATTATATATGCAATTTTTTAAGGTACATTGGTTCCACAATGATTATTATTTTTATTTTTGGAATAATTGTTTCTCATATGACGAATCAAAAAAGTACGATATCTGGGTTTTTTTTAGCTAAAAGAAACCCTGTAATAAATTGGTAACTCATCTTTCAAACGTTACGGTTAGTGGTATGATCATCATGTCGATAATCAGATGATGGGTTTAATTTGACATTAGTTACTAAGTATCAATCATTGTCAACGATTATTTACCTAAAAGAGCCTAATGAGATTGATTTAAAATAATTACCTTAGCCTGTTTTAATGCAATGGTTTACATTTTACAAACTCTTGTTAGAAACATACTTGTATGGCAAATCATTGAAATTCTGCATGGAATACAATTCCAATATAACTCAATCGACAATACATTAATTTTTTATTCAAAGTTATAATTAATATTTTAAACATGTTACATACGGCAACATTAATGATTTTATTGATTGACGATACTACGTGTAATCGATTTACATTCTAATTACTACAATGAAATTTAAACGTACAATCACTGTGTGAAGTCATATACATTTTGAACTGGTCAACAGTAACAGATGCAGACTTAGTGGGTAACAATAACGATATGTTGTAGGGAACCATAAAAAAAAGTATGAGTGAAAATTAATCACAGCGTCTAGTATATACATATAATTCTCACAATAATATAAACTGAATCAGCAAATTAATTAAGGAAGATGATACATCCCTAGAAATGAATTTATAACTTTCGATGGCTTGGTAACATATTCATACTTAGTTCTAATAGCTATAGCTTAAACAACCGGATAGTTTCATCAGTTTATATACAAATTATGTAGCTGTTTAAGTACAAACAAGAGCTTTGAATTAGCCATAGTATTGCCTCACTATTATTATTATTGTTATTATTATTATTGTTATTATTATTATTATTATTATTATTATTACTTTTATGAAATTTTCATGTTATTATTAAAATGACTATTCACTACACAAAAAGATTGTATGCTGGTTTCTAGCGTAAAATCTTACTCAAACATTTTGTTACATAATGGTCTAAATTGATTTTTATTGGCTACAATAAAGGAGAAAATTTATTGCGTCAACTGATTGTAATTAGAATGACCTTGGAAAGGTTGTTGCACTAACATACACATACTTATAAAGCGTATAGAATGACGAATATACATGACACATTATGTAATTTTCCATACTAGACTGCAATTGTATCAACCACTTATTAACATAATTTACTCGATGAAACATACACAGGTTGTGACAACGTTACCATATGAAGATAAAACAAAAGTCTTTGAGGAATATTCATTTCACAGATTGAAATCATGAGTCAATTGAAGCTAGACCACCATGGAAAAACCTGGAAGCACTGGACGGCCGTTTCGTCCCAGTATGGGACTCCTCATCAGTGCTCATTCAGGGTCCCGAACCCCGCAAGGTTCGAACTCAGGACCTATCAGTCTCACGCCAGGCGCTTAACCAAATAGACCACTGTCAAAGAAAATTATGACGTCCTATAGATGATAACGACAGAATTACCTTTATTTTGTATTCAAAAAATCAAAAAAATTATATTCTCAATGTAATGTGGGTCAATGATTTTTTCTGTCTACATCGACGTTAAATGATATTACAATAGTAGGTTGAAAGATTGTTGATGGTTACTGTATCACTTATGAAATGACCCAAACTTGAGTATTGTCCTATCGAATTTAATCAACATAGAGCATAACACAAATGTACGTTATCAAATCACATTGACAAAACGATATGAAAGTAATAGGATCCATAACAAAAGAAACTGAATGTATGTAGTCAAAATAATAATGAGAAAAAATAAACATTTCGAATATATTTTGAAAAGTAAAAAGTTATAGATGAAAGAATATTAGAATTCAAGATTGAGTTCCTAGCTCTTAGTTCGGTCGCCCTTATTATTATTATCAAGAGGTGAAGGTACGTTGTAGAAAAATATATTCGTCAAGAATTATTGTACAATAATAGGGGAATGGGCAAAAAAAGAAAATATAGGTGAGAAACATGAAGTATATCTAAAGAAAATATTCTTAATTCATCTTTATGATTGTTTAAAACTACAAAAAATGTATTAGTAAAAGTTATCATTGTTGTACTCTTAATGTTATATTTTATTTATTTATTTATTTAAACATATAAATATTGGTGCAAGGAGGCACGAAATAGATATTAGCCACATAAATCATTCATTTTCTGTGAAGTCTGAGATACTGTTCAGGTATATTGTCGGGTCCTGCTGCTTTCCCGCTCTTGATTTGTCTGATGGCCATTCTGATTTCTTACGTCGTTGTTGGATTGACATCCACAGGAAGAACTGTGTGCGCTGCTTCGATGTTCGGTGGATTCATTGAAGCCGGCCTATTCAGGAGTTCCTCGAAGTATTATACCCATCTGTTCCGCTGTTGGTGAATTTCAGTGATTGGCCTGCTTTCTTTGTCCTTGACCGGTCTCTCTGTTTTACTGTATTTCCCTGATAGTTTCTTCGTTGTATCGTAAAGCTGTTTCATATTTCCTTCTCTAGCAGTTTTTTCCACCATCGTTGCTAGTTCTTCCACGTATTTCTTCTTGTCAGCTCTAATGCATTTCTTCACTTGATTGTTTGCTTCTATGTATTCAGCTTGTGCTTGGACTTTCTCTGTTCGTGTTCGGCTATTCTTAATTGCTGTCTTCTTGTTCTTCCTTTCTTTGATCTTGTCCAGAGTTTCTATACAGATCCACTCCTTATGATTATGTTTCTTGAGGCCCAAAACCTCTTGACACGTTAAAGTTAATGCTTCTTTGATGCCTTTCCAGTTGTCCTCCACAGTAGTTTCTTCTTCCTTCAGTAGATCTTGTAAGTCTTGGAACGTGTTGTTGAGAGCTATCTTGAATTCATTGAATCTGTTATTATCTCGAAGGACGGCTGTATTGAACCTTTGTATTGCTGTTTGTCCAGTTGTCCAGTTCTTCTTTAGCTTCAGTTTTAAATTAGCTACAACTAGGTGGTGATCTGAAGCTATGTCAGCGCCTCTCCTGGTTCGCACATCTTTCATCGTCCTTCAGAATTTTTTATTGATGCAGATATGATCTATCTGGTTCTCTGTAGTGTGATCCGGTGAGATTCATGTAGGTTTGTGTGGAAACATTGTGCCGCCTGTGACCAATCTGTTGAATGCACATAGATTTGCAGATATTTCCCCATCTTCGTTTCTCTCTCCTAGTCCATGTCGCTATATGATATCTTCATATCCGGTGTTGTCTATTCCGACTTTGGCGTTTAGATCTCCCATGAGAATGGTGAGGTCCTTTCGTGCAAAATTCTCTATGGTTGATTGCAACCGCTCCTAGAATTGATGATTAATGTCGTCGTTGCTATCATTGGTGGGTGCATAACATTGGATAATATTCATTGTGATCTCCTCCTTCTTTGTTTTGAATGATGCTTTGATGATTCTAGATCCGTGAGATTCCCATCCTACAAGTGCATTCCGTGCTACTTTGGACAGCATTAGAGCGACTCCATGAGTGTGTGGAGCATTTTCCTCTTCGTGGTCGGAGTATAGCAGCATCTCTCCCGTATTTAGCCTTTGTTGTCCAGCTTGAGTTCAATGGGTTTCGTTGATTCCCAGTACTGCAAAGTTGTATCTCCTCATTTCCGTTGCTATTTGACTGGTCTTCCCGGTCTCCCACATTGTCCGTACGTCCCATGTACCTGTAAAAATTGTTGCTTTCGTTGTTAGAAGGGGCATCGGCCTCGTGGCTTTCGAAGGAACTCCGTTTTCACTATGAGGCGTCATATTTCTTCGAAATGAAGACCTTCTAACTCCCAGGGAAGAGTTTAAATGATTTGAATTATTTTTTTCGGGCAACGAGTTTTTAGCGAGTATTAATTGTTCATTTTCATTGTATCTAGGCATAGATATACTTTTCAATACTGGGATTAATTAAACGGCAGATAATACGCCTAAATTCAAGTCATATCATCAATCTCCAAACGATGATATATTTTTGCTCAGATTAAGTATATTTCTATTATGAACATTATATCTAGCAAAAAAAAACACATTCAGATACTTGTGTTCAGAAATTCATTCTACTATTTATATAAGGCTAAACAAAGTCCCACCCACTATGAATTCAACAAACAAAAAGTATCAGTAGTATACACAATGAATTGAATCTATACAAATCAGTACATTGGTTACATTGGCTACGTTTATACACCTAATATTATAAATAAAACAGTTAAATTTTATCTTTTTTTTAAAAAAAAATGTACTTGGAAATATTTAGTATACAACTTTGCTAAAAACACTACTAAACTTCACTAACTTAAACCGATGAATACAATCATTCATGATTATTCAATGATTTCATCCATAAACCATAAATAACTAGAACATCACATGTTATGATAGATAGTATCTAATTCACATTTAAAGTGCATGACTCAATGTAATGGTTGATTCTTATCCCCCTTTTCATAATTAACAAATGTTGAATTATAATAAAAATGAATTACATTTTTTTTTTGTTTCTTAACACCAACTTGTAATCGAAGTGATTCTTTCATTTCTATGATTATTGTTCTTATTTTATAAAAAGAAATAAGTTAGCACTTTATATAAATTAAAATAATAAATTGTATTAATAAATCAATTTATTCAATGTTTAATTTCTAAAACAAACTGAATAATACTGTTTCCATGCCCATTTACTAATATTCGACTAGTAGAATATAAGTAACCTAGTTACTAGATGATACATTTTTCTTCATCAATTTTTTTTCTTTGGTAATAGGAAACAATAATACTGATAATATAACCGTTGGGTAAAAATATTTTTTTGATTGTGAATCTATAGGGTTATAATTTAAACTGTTTTGGTCAAAAGTTCAATGTATTGTATGAGATATATATACCAAAAAAAGGGCGGATTTTGCAAACAATTCTTAAGGTATAGACAAATTCTAACCCATTTGTCTATTAATAATGATGTATATATACATATTTAAGTATTTATCTCTTTGTTTCTTTGCTTGTTTGTTTGTAAACATAATGTAAATACATACATTAAGAAAAAAAAGTTATTCAAATCAACTTCACTGCTTAATCATATATAGAATAGAATGTAAATCAACTATTGATACAATCAATGTTAATTTCCTAATGTCTTCTAGAGTGAATTTTCTACATGGTACAATTCTCAATCGATTAACAAGCAATAATAGTAGTATGCAATGAAGAAGTATACACAATGATTGAATTGTTATCCTTAATTTAAAAAAAACGAAACTCCTAATTTAACAAATCATCTAGATTCAGTCCAGTTAATTAAATCTAACTACAGATTGAGTCTGTTGGAGAAAGTTATTTAATGGGTGGGACAACAAAGTAATAGTGTTGATTGTGAGAATATGGTAGAAACGGAAAGAGAGAGTTTGAGATGGTAAAAGATAAACTGTTTGATAAAATGAAAGCAAACCTTGTGATGAAACGTTTATCAGTTATTATAGTTTATTTATAAATATAAATGGATAATAAGTAATACAGCTATTATATGATTTACATAATCCCTGCCATTAGGTTCGAAATTATACCATATAATGTCAGAGACATTACCATTAGGTTGTTTCAGCCCCAACAGACCTGTCAAACTGATCAATTCACACTAAATACTAGCCTATGTCATTTTTCTAATCCGTGATTCCAAGTGAATGATTTAGGGTGATTCGAAACGTTACCACCAAACTAAATGACTGCATTAATACTGAACCTATTTTTTATGTTATATGGTTGAAGATAATCAGATTCCTGCTGATATCAAACCATTTGTACTAGTAACCTGATAGATGGTATTCGATCAGCATTATCTAACAAAAAGCATAACATCGGTTACATAACTATTTTTAGCTTAGAAAAGCAGAACAGATTTTAGAACAATTTTCTCAAACATTTATGTTAATTGTTTTTAATCAGGTGATGACTCTAAAAAATATACATAAAAAATTGAAATTTATATCAGTATAATATAACATACCTCATAAGCCGATGAATACATATTCATTGTTAGTGATTCATTATCATCAGTTGATAAAGAACTAAATGACGATCCAGATTTCAATGTTTCATTTATACAAGATTGTGTTGATACATTATGACTAAAATTCTCAATACAATTATAGTCATTTGAGTGTAGTTTAGCATTTGGTTTGTCTAATTGTTCATTCTTGTTATTTGGTGTTGAATAAGTAAAGTTTTGAATTGTCAACGAAGGACTTTGAGTAGGATATTTTATTCAGTTTTTTTTTTCAAAAATACATCAAAATAAATACAATAATATGGTTATGTGATAGGAATAAATGTTTAATTTTAATGAGATCAGTTAAAATAATTGATAGAGTAGAGTTGTTAAGGTTTCAAATTATTAGCTGAAACGTTTTGATTGAGATCATGAACCGATCGATGTTAGACCACCATTGAAGGCCCTGGGTTTGAATCCAGCGAGCGTGATCGTGGATGCGCATGGCTGAGGAGTTCCACAATAAAACGAAACGGCTGTTCAGTGCTTCAAGGATTCCAGTGGTGGTCTAGAATTGATCGGTTCATGATCTCAATCAAAAACTCAACAATCTCCACAACCCCTATACTGATATTAGCGAAAACATTTAAATGATTGTTAACTCTGAAGGCTGAAGATAAAATCACTCGACTATGGATGTTAACAACATCTTAAATGCCCCCAAATGCCCTGGTAGGACTGAGAGTGGGTAGAGTCAGCTCTCCTTCTTGAAATGCTTTCACATGGCCACACATATGCAGCCAATGTCAGTAAAGTCCCACAAACTGCTTTCTTGCGGCACCGGTGTTGTTACAAAATTGAGAGGACAAAAGCGAATGTCTAGCGCTTTAACCAGCTTGGTGGATACTATGAGTCCACCTAGGGGAGTTGTAAAACCCTGATCCAAAATAAAATAATCCACGTGGGCTCCAATATACTGAAGGAACAAATGGCGTATGTACCAATTGTTGGTCACCGACTACTATGGGACTTCATCTCGTGATGTTGCTCCACTGCCTTGTGGATCAGACTTTAAGGTTGAAGGCTCCAGGTGTGACCCCTTAAGAAAATCACCTGCTTCGGTTTGGGCACCTGGGCAGTATCACAGCCCACACACGAATCAAGTGACTTGTGTGGTATATATGTATCAATATTTATTTGTTTAAATAAATAATAATAAATAAATAACATCTTAAATATTTGAAAGCAGTGAGTAAAATGATGGTTCAAGTATAATTTACTTGGTGTCTTCAGGAATCAAATCACGTATTAGATTAGAAAACTTTAAGTGATTAACTCGGACTAAAGAATAATAAAGTGATCTGAAAGATTTACGATGAAGCACCACAAACAAACAGAAATATCTTACAAATAAAATTATACACTACATAAGTCACTGGAATATTGAAATGCAACATCTGCATCCAGTAATTCAACTAATGTACACTCAGAAATTAGCGACACATTCATGAATTAATATAAAACTAATGTATCTGATTTTATCAAATAACTGATTGTCAATATAATTTTTAACACTAACAATCGTTATGATTTGAAGTAATAGTTAAAGTTCTTTTTACTAAATAGGCACTATGATAAATGAAAATATCTTTTAAATAAATCCTCATTACCAACTACACTGAATTATCTTCAACTAACAGTAATAAGTATTAAATTGGCATATGAAACCCAAGTACGAAAATGTTCTTAATCTCTCAGCCCAATCTCCTTCAAAAGATAAATATTCTAGGGAATATTTGTATGATAGGAACTAAAGTCAATTTAAACAAGTAACATAATTTATCCTATCAGATTCTGTTGTGACTTTACGCCCTGCTATTTATCACATGACTCATTCGTGAATCGGAATATGACTTGCACAATCTTAACACTATGCCAAACAAATGAAGTATCGACCGGTATAAGCAGCCTATCGTCGTTACTGATCCTTTTCTTCCTAGCTCTGCCAGTTCAGTCTAGAACACTATTACCAGCTTCCACTATACGAATCATTTATTTCAAACATATCTGGTTTCTATACAAGCCAAAAAGACAACATCACACCATGAAATAAGAAATATCATTTATACAAGATCAAGCCAAAAGGTGATCGCGATTGTGGGAGACTGTAATTAATAAACTGGGCATAATTTAGGAATAGTAAGTTGTATAATAATAGTCTAGACGTCAAAATAAAGCTTATAATAAGAGGAATATAAATATACATAATCTTGTTACTCAACAGTTATACAATAAGAATATATGTATAATAGAAGATTGTAAATAGATCCCAACAGTTATCATTCCTTATTCTCGTTAGGATATAACAGATTCAACTCAAATACATGACACATTGATCTTAACTATTTACTTTGCTAAAACTGAACTCTACTAACACCAATCATTTGAGTGTAATCTAATTTGAAATAGAAAATAATGTTTACACAACCAAGGATTGAAATTTTTTTACTTATTCTCCATTTTTACCTCTATACACTAACTAACTAAATTATTCACTTATTATTTAAGTAGTATCCGAATAAAAATGGAATATATATGAACTTGAATATTGAATATTGGACTAACTAAAAATCAATATTCGAAAAAGAAATATTCTCAACAATAATAAATTATTCTTTCTTCAATAATGAAGATTAATAATGTATTTGTACTTCATAGAATATAAGAAAGAGTTCATTGGATTTCAATAGAAGTAATACAAACAAAAAAAATATGCATTTGGACATAAACACGTACACTGACATGTGTTTACATACACTATATATATATATATATATATATATATATATATATATATATATATATATATATATAGAGAGAGAGAGAGAGAGAGAACAAAGTTTACCTGTGTTTGCATACATATACATACACCAATTTGAAACAGTGTAGTTATAATTGATAGAGCACATAGTGACAAAAAAAAGAACCAAACATCTGTAATTTTATAATAATTTACATAAACCAGATCGATAAAAGTATAAACATTAACACTGACAAAATTTGTCTTCTTAATTTTGCATTTTAAATAAATAGTAATTTTATTATTCATTATACTCCATTTTAATGTTCATTTTATTATAAAAGTAGATTCTTATGTATTTTTATTGTTTTAATAATAAAGAATAGAGCTGAGAATGTTCATATACATGGTAATGGCATATATATATATATATATATAAACTGAAAAATCATTATAAACTATAAAACACTGAACCTAGAAAATACAAAGCAAGTAATTTAGTTTTATAGAGCTCATCATAAGACTTTAATATCCGGGTTGATAATTGGTATGAACAAACGAGAAATCATAGATTATAACAAAACAATAGTCCAGTTTCTTTTCTCTCTCTTTCCCTCTTTCCAATTTACATTGCCTGATATGAAAATGTAGAGATTCAATTTAAAAAATTATCTTTTCAATTGACCGTATTTATCAAAATAATAGATGAAGACAAAATTAGGAGAAATCGAAAGATAGTAAAATAAAAACGAAAAGAAACCCACTTGAGAAAGAATCATGAATATAAAGAAAGAGGATGTTCAATATTTAGAAAACAAACAGTAAAACACATCTATCCTGCGGCATGAAAAACGACGTCTGCAGTTTATAAGTGTTTTTGTTTCGAAAAAAATTGATATCACATAGACTAAAAACCACTACTTAACAAATTGTTTAAGGCCTTTGAAAAATAGTGACAAAACAATCTATTTAAATATATATATGGAGGGTAAACTTACTTGGTAATTTCAGAATTCGATATGTATCTTTGGTCAGAATCCGTATTTACCTGAGTTTTCTCAAAACATGGACTAGAAGAGTCTGAATTCACATCCTGATTTTCAGAAATTTTCATCGTATTCATTTGATTTGAAGTATTTGTTACATGAGCAGAAGACGATTGAGTTAACGAATCATGGAATTTTTCGCAACTCGTATTATTAGAATTGCATAAAGCTTGTTGATTTAAAAATGCAAATATGTATGGGATCCCACGAGCAACAATCTGTTATTTTTTCAAATAAAGAAAGGTATATGTCTCTTGAAAAATAAATAAAATCCATAACATGTTACACAATCAGGGAATAATTGTAATTAAATATGATAAATGTGATTTCCCATACGTCATGGTAAATGACATTAAGCTCTGACTATCAAGTCGAAAACACTTACTGGTTAGTTGATGGGCAAATATATTTTCAAGCATATAATCTATCTTGTTTAAATTATTCATGAGTAAGCAAAGATTAATGTTAATACTACCAACTGATGAAAATAAATAAGTACCAGATCGAAATAACTTAAAATGTAAAATTGATGAATGATTATTAATATAAAATCAGAAACTGATTGCATCAATATTTGATTTAAACTTTTTTATGAATCCTTGTGACATAATTCTGAACTGATCAAACTCTTAATTAGGTGAACTAGGGTTTAAGTCAAGGAATTACTACATGATTGAAAGTCAATTGCTAAGACTACTAAATCATCACTTCAATGTTAGTAGTATAGAAGACTCTAATGAATGCTGTTTCCACATAAAAAATTTATATTATTCCATAAGAAAAGATTTCGATTTTTATACTAAATATCACTATCATCCTAATAACATCCTTTTAACCAAAGCTTCATTTCCTTGTTAAACAACGGATGTTATATTCGCTTTCTTTCATTACTACAAACATTTCATACACTAAAGAGTATGAATTAACGTGTAGAAACTTAGATCATCCATAAAATAACTTCTAACGTCGTCATTTTCATTGTTGCATCAAATTTCCCGTTCAAAATTCGAATAAACTTAAATATTCGTGTATAATGATTAGAAATAGTTTACATTGAGTTCTTAATCTGGCCTTCTTGATAAATATGTTTAACAGTAAAGTAAACAAAATCTTAATCAAATAATAATTAGAATAAAAACATCATCATCAGTTGGTGACAATCTGTTATTTTAAAAAAAATCTTATAGTCGAATTATCAGAAGAGTTTGAAAGTTTTATGAGTTTGCTGACTGTTAATAAAAATTACGTAAGAATGAGAAGAAAATATTAACTAAATAAGAGAAATAATTTGAGATGGAATCCACAGTTGAATTTTTAATTGCATTATAAAGGTGAACAGAGTATATGTACATAAATGTGCGTACATAAATTGCAATTTAATAATTTCCACAACATGCAATAGACTTATAACATGAACTTGACTGGAAAATGAATATTTTGTAAACAAAGAAACGCTTTAATGATCTATCCAAATGAAACTATCATATTTTATCTTCACTTTTAATAAATGTGATTTGGAGATAAATTTAAATCCACAAAACGCTGTAAACTATTTATTAAATCTAAGAGTGATATGATTTTTCTACATCAAACCAAAACCACTTTCTGTTAAATTCATGTATCTCATACTGTTTTAAATTATTGGAATGGAATCAAATCCGGTTGTGAAGTTGACAACTGATAAATATGTTTACAATAAAGCTCTCAAAAAAACTAATGTGTTTGAGCATGCTCACTAATAAGACTCACTGTTAAAAGGGGAGGGGATAGGGGATTTTCCTCTAGAGATAACCTCTCTAAACACCACATAAATCTAATGCTCAAAGGTAGTTGCTTTACTCCGTTTGAATGCAAGTCCAAAATCTTCAAACAACGAAGACCAACTATGTCTAGAAATCGAAGTACAAAAAGACGAAATTATAATTTACGAATGTATATAAATAGAAAATATAAAAGTAAAAGGTTAATACGGAATTTTCCTTGTTAGTATATGAGTTCTGAGCCCCTAAAGACAATTATATTTCATAATATGATCTTTGATTTCATTCACAAATCATGTATGTGAATGGCACCAACAGATGCACAACCGTAGATAACTCACGACTTATTATCAAAGAGATTTAGTCTCAACAGAATTTCGCCTATTATCCGCAGATGTGACTCTGTTGGGTGGGATAACAGAGTTTGATTGCTACAGATACTTAGCAATACTCAACTGAAAAATGAAATCAAACTTGTTAACAAATAGTCCTGAACTTAACTATGATTCGAATACACATCGATATCACGGCTAGTGACACATCATCCACTATTTTGCAGAAAGAACGCCATTAATATTATCTATAATGGAACGGGAAGAAAACCTGAAGCGCAATTAATGTCAACCAATTAGTCAGTAAAAAGATGATTTCCAACTAATGTCAATACATGCACTACAATGAATTTCGTTTATCAACTAAAAAGCTGGTATTTAATGACAAGTTCATGATGCTTACTATGTAGAATCAGATTTATGAAGATTGTCGTTACTTGTTCTCTTATAGTGATAAGTGAAGATCATAATATTTTAGCCATCTACTTAAGGGGCAAGTGACACGGATACAAATGATAACTTTAAGTGGCACAACAACGCTTCTTACAAGGGAAAACAACAATGGGTAGTTTAAAAAAATACTATTTCAATACATTATGCACTCCTTAATGACAAGATAATAGTAGAGTTAATAAAAACAAATTATGTTGAAGAATTCACGACCTTTTAGCTTTGGTATAGCAATGTTTTAACAGCAGATTTATGTCCGACATTACTTTGCCTTCCTTCAATTAATAAAAAGTTTATAGAGTAAAACGAGGGTAATTCAGGAACATAGAACTATGTATTTGACATCTTTTGATTGGCCGAAGGCTAATGAAATTCTATATTTCAGTGTTTTAAATTAACGATTGATGAATTAGGCTGTTTTGATATCAAATTTTCAACAAATGAAAGTAATAATATTTGTAATCACTAATTTTTAGAAAATGTTTCATTCAGAGAAAACAATAGCTCTACTTTTAATCTGGTTTAAAGTTTACGCTCATAGTATTCCCATTATGCGGAACTACTAAATTTTTTATAACTGCAAAGGTATTCTAAAAAAGAAAGGTAACCTGAAAATGATATGATACAACACAGAATACCCTAGACCTCAGTTTTAAAATACTATTACACTGTCATATTGACCAAAAAATGAGGTGGTCACCATAAAAATGAATTAAAATATAGTTTTCGGAGTAACAAAATATACTGATGACATTCCATCACAAAAATGCATTGCTAATGTATCAATTATGAACCATCAGATATTTTGTTGGTATCAGTAAATTTCTTAAATTCTCATGAAAGCATTAATTACAAGCAAAGACACCATCTATCAGCGTTGGAAAATATTTAAACGACCTATAGGCCATATATATATATATATATATATATATATATATATATTCTAGACAAAAACTTAAAAGCTGGTAAACGTAAAAGAGATGCAATATGAGTCAAAAAATTATGCGTCTCCGAATTACCATAATCCGAAGTACATACTCCGAACGAACATACCTTCTGGAAGTGTTTCAATCAGGTTACATCCTAATAGTAAAACTTTTAAACTGCGAAGTGAGCAAATCGAAGAAGGAAAGCATTTAAACCTGTTGAACGACAAATCCTGAAATTTAGTTCAACATTTATAAGGGAAATTACCAGCTCTTGCAAGTTTTGAAGTTCACAAATATTTGCAGGAAGAGAAGACAAATAGTTGTTAGACATTAACAAAATCCGAAGGCTCGGTAGTTTGCATAGCGAATTCGGGACAGAAAAAATTTTGTTGAAGCTGAATTACAATACTAAAATAAAGAAATTGAAATACCTTAAATCCAAAGTTGTAAGCAATCTGTATTGTTCGATTCCACTCGGAATATTTGTGATGAAGTTTCGAGATAAATCCAAATGCTCTACAAACTTCAAAGTTTCCGAAATATTGGAAAAATCCCTCAACCTGCAATTGGAAAAGCCTTTAGACAATATTAAAAGAAAATTATTTCGACATACTTCTTTGGCGATTCGAGTAGTAGTCGCGAAAAATTGAATCCCTATTATCTGTATCATTTTTCAAGGCATCGTTTGACTTATTAGGCACTACAAGGCTATCAAGCATCAATATTCATTCATTTCCCAAAGATGAAAACTCGAAAACGCAACGATGTCACGACCTTCAGCGACAGTGCAGTGAAACACCGAAACACATCAATACAAAAGTACCATAAGTAATCCTGTTAAGTTCACATTAAACTCTCTCGAATTCATCTAATGAATAGGTTTGAGGAAGCAGGGTATAACAAAATAAAAGTTATCATGATAACTACAGAAATGACGTAAGCATAGCACATCCTATATCTCAAGGGTTAAATAAGTTCGTAAAAATGGCTAAAGTATGAAAACCATGTTTTATGTGGGTCTCAACGAAACCACTCTAACTTCATTGACACGTTCAAAAATTTATTTATTTTCGCCCGCACATGAATAGTTTTTGGCCATTTATTGACGTCATTCGAGTGACGTGAGATGATAAAATATAAGTTAACGCGGTTGACGCAGAAAGATTCGATATAATTTGTCACGTAACCAAGAATTTTGGGTTCGAAAGGTTTCGTGAAGCCGCTGTCTTTGTAGTAACGACAAAATGGAATCTATAACATTAGTCGCCCTTTAATGTTCGAAAGTCTGTTCAATCTCGATAATCAATTTCTTTGCTTCTAATGGTTCATACTTGTATCGTCACACAAAAAACCTTACCTTGGCTTTTCTGAGCAGTGATTTTCATCAGTTAACTGATGTGAAGAACTTATCAAGCCTGTTCAATTCAAAGAAAGTGTAAACGTTTTGGCACCGGAATCCTCAAATGATAGACGTATTTCCGAAGGACAAAATAGTACTATAAGTAACTTTACCTGAAGACGCAAAACAAAATGAACATATCTGTGGGCTTTCATGACATCACGTTTTTTCGAAACTTATGTCCACTAGTTCAAATCAACTGGCATCACGGTTCATGCAGCAGATTTTATGACGCATAATAAATGCCTATAAAAGCTGCTTACACAATTTCTGCCGATAAAGATTCGCTGCCGATCTAGTAGTCCAAGTAAATACTGCAAGGTTGTCTATTCTTTTAGTCAAAGTACTGTCACATGAAAATACCTCGTTTCTAATGCATAAATTTGAACTTCTCTGGTTCTATTTAGGATATACTGTAATTTATGTGCGTTATAACATGATGATATCATTTAGTTTTAGAACATGCAAGTTTTTACTTCTACTAAGACACATCTGCAGTGTCCAACTTCCTTCAATTTGTGGTCGCTTGTACTCCATGTATCCTGAAGGGTTGGAATCTATCACGGTTGTATATGTAAACTTGGAGGTCATTCTACTTGGTTGATAAAATTATCTCACAGTAAGCTCGCCTACGGTATTTGTGCTGTACAATGCAAACAATGAATCTTATTGAGTATTCTCACAGTTTCTATAACTTGGGTTATCAGTAACTCAACTTTTGCTTATCTAAAATGAGTTCTGATGAGTAATCCTAGTAGGATGTTTTCTGAGGAACGAATAAACATGGTATTTGATTTTGAAAGGAAATATATTGTACTAACAGCTAAGGCGAATGTTCACTTCAGGTAAAGTGATTTCGACAAAATTGCCTTAGTGAAAACCGCTATTTCTATCTGATCATTTAATGAAGTTATGAAGGAACCATGAGAGTTCGAAACGCAGATTTTGTCTAGAAAGAGGTATCATCATGACAGAAATATTTTCAAAACAGCTGAAAATCTCAGTGCGTGTGTCATCTGAGGCTTAGAGCACGTTAGATTGTATGAATATAAAAAATTGATCGATACTATGAATACCTGCTAGTGGCTGCGTCTAAAGTCAACAACGACCATTTTCGGTGAAATAATATTAAAACTGTTACACCTAAGCAAAGACGTATTTAATATATATAGAATAAAACTATTGTGAATTTCAAGGCTTTACGGTGACAGCAGAAAATCGAGTGGATGTTGAAAACATTTATATATGTTCTGAAAAGAACAAGTACGAATATAATGCTTATTTATAGGCATGATCAGCTTGATGAGGATAATAATGTTAAACATTTTAGACGTTTTGGATAATACATTGTTCCACGTGTTTTTGACAACAAAAGATATAGGCATTACATTGTTCACAAGCAATACAGCCGTGAAAAATACCAGTCAACAATTTTAATTTTTTCTAAATAAGAATTAACTGATGTACTATAATCGGAATTCAAAATCAAGCATTCAATAAGTGCGAAGGAATCGTTAGTTCATACAAACAGCACAGATGGCCAATAAGTTCTACACCAAAACATCTCTATGTTCTTTTATGATGTTTTGTTCGTGTTAGTTATTATTCAAACTTGTTAAGGTTATCTGGGATGATGTTAAATTAAGGTGACAACAGGTATGGTGGTTTACTTAGTAGGATGAGTAATAAAAACTATTCAGCACTCGATGTTTTAATAATTTCAGTTGTGAAATGGAATATACATACAGGTATAAGCATATTTCTAGATAAGTAAACACCGATGCATCGAACAAGGGATGGGAGCGAATTCATCTCACAAACAGGTTGTAATACATTATTCTAGAGTCTGGGAAACTTACGGGTACAGTAATTCATATAGAGAGAATAGTTGGAGCGAGAATATTCTATTAATGACAAAAATTTCATCAGATGTAAAACATGGTTTATTAAATATTTCAAAGAAAGAAATTAGATTTAGTTTGTGTCTTTGCCTCTTTAAAGGGTTGGAGTGTCAGTTATTATAGCAAGCCCATATACCTTATTCTAACTTTCGGACATCCTATTTAATTCATTTTACTTGAACCATATTTTGACCTTGTCAATTATTCGCTTGTCAGTCTTGATTGTTTTTATATGAGCATATATGTGTGTACACTTCATGTCCCATGACTCATCACATGTCTGTTGCTTATTTTGTCTGCCTATAAATATTGAGTAATGCCTGGCTTGAGATGGAGTTGGGTTCCCAGCCATCTTCCCTGCGCGTCATTTTGCTCTGTTCTATTGCATTCGCTTTACATACAAAATATATGTAATCAAAGGCCATTCTCGTTAATTGACTTGTCTAAATTCCGTTATTGACTAACGTGATTTTAGTCGACGATAATATACGAGAAAAGGAGATAACAATCATTCGTACGATCTAATTGGAGTCAGATCAATTGGGCCACAAAAGGGTTGAATCCAAGTTTATTACTCCTGTATTTATAATTTAAAATTGATTAGTTCTAATAATGCGGAATGTTAACCATATCTGAACGAATTCCAAGCCTTTTTATAACCTATGCAAACATTACTAAGAATAAACGCAAAGTATTCTAAGAGTGGTTGAAGACATACTTTGCACATCAAAACACGTGAATGGTTGCATAATAGAATTATGAAACCCGTAAGGCGGTGAGGTTTCGAAGGCTTTTACGGCGCTTTTACTGGGAAGGACATGGTGTAAGGATACCTGAATCCTGAGTTCAGTACTATATGTGACTCGGATATCACCTTACCATTTATGGAAAGATCTAGGTTGAGTGAAGTATTACACATGCTTATCCATCTATATTTATCTGTATCAAGCTCCAACTATCATTTTAGGCACAACTGAACTATGCTGTTTAGCTCCGTACTGATTTAATTTCGCGTACTATTCAGTTCATGAAGAGAAAACGATTTGCTAATTTAAGATCATCTGTATATAAAACAGGCTTGGTTATACCAAAGAAACCGAAAATAAAATTTATATGAACTAAAAAGATCAAAGGAGCATCTTTTTATCGGAACTGCATTCGATAAATAGGAGTTAATGTTTAGTAATTGGTATTGTTGAGTAAGGAGAGAATTAAAACCAATCAAACAGATAGTTTTTGAATTCATACGATGCGCGTTTTTCTATGAGAGTCTGGTGATTAGCCATGTCCAAAGCTTTGGATATGTAAAGGTACAACAATTATTAAGTACTTAAAACTCCTAACAAATGGCTTCAAACCTATGTTTTTCTTTAATTTGGCGACTGTCATGAAGTCTTTCGACCTATAGCAACGTTTCTTCAGGTGCCTTAACTTACTGCAATGTTTTACTGGTGTAAATAACTCATTAGGCATTCTAAACCTGTACATCTTAAGAGATGAGCAGGAATCTGTACATAAGTTGGTGATCAGAGATAACGTGTCAGTAGCACTGAAGAGACTATAACGTGGGGATTTGTCCAAGCCTGAGAATTTTGTCAGGGCATATGCATACACTTTATTGCCGACTGAGTTTTTTATTGGTTTCGGTGTAGATAGCGTCATATCTTTTAGAATATTAGGTCGAGTATAGCATCATGCCTTGATTGGGCAAAAACTTATTAGAATCAGCAGAGCATGTTATTTTGCTGCCATGAATTTGTGGATTTATGATTTAATTCAGTACTAGTACATTTGTCTTTATTATTTTAAAAACAGACCCCATTCCAAAATTGTAAATTTTGCATGATGTAACAATTTAATCTATAAGATATTACTTGGAAGTCACATGATTTTTCACATTTACTTGCCTTGTATGACATTCGGCAATATAACGTCTAAAACGTCTTATGAACACATTTCGGCTGGGGGTGAAGTAACATATTTATTGGGAAAAGGCGTGGATTACAGAGAATGACCACCTCTAAAAGGCTGTGTCGTGCAATACCGACCAGCTGTTCCCGCCTTCACTATTTTTAATTTTCTCCGAGTGTCACATGTTTAATGTGATTTTCCTCAGTAATTATATGCTCGGCTTCAAAGATCGTATGGTTAGGATCCAATATCGCAACAAGTTCAACACCACATGACTGACAACAACCGGTACTTCAGTTCGTCCCAAGTCGATTGAAATCTCTTGCAATAACTTATGGTCGAATTTAGAGCGGATGTATGACAACGTCATTTGCACTATCCGAAATGTCAGCAGCTGCGTATATGTATTCCAGGAGTAGTCCATGATTCAGAATGTTACCTGATATCTAGACCGATTCTTGCAAACTACTCAAAATAATGTCTATAATTTTATTACTTGAAAGAGAAACCAAAACATCTATGAAACAACCACCATCATGTTTGGTTTCTCAGTTATGGCGATAG